CAATAATAAATACCAAAAGAACAAATAGAAGACAATTAAATCAGACTTCTCAAAATCCCCTTTCAGACAAATAAATTCTTACTGCTATTCGGAAAAAAAAATACAGTAACAGCTAATTCCAATGTAGACATACCTGATCCGATACCGGTGCTGACTAGCTTTCCTTCCAGTTCTGTAAGGGAAGAATSCTGGAGCGAAGACTGCAGGGATGACTCTTTAGAACTGTCCTCATCTGTTCCCAGGTGATTCTCATCTTGTTCTGGCAGCTCAGGAACACCAGGAGCTGCAATGTTTTCATCTGGAGGAAACACTCCTACTGGGGATCGCAGGCCCACGGGGCTGTCATTCTGTGAGATCTGCTGTTCGGTGCTGCCATTAGTGGAGGACTGGATTGATGTGGGAAGAAGCAATACGTTTGGCTTCTTGGGAACTGGAGGAGGAACCTGTAAAAGATGAGAAAAGTTACACTAACTTAGAAATGTGTGGACTGATATAAAAGAAATCACAAGTGATGAAAAACATTTTTACATTTATATTGGCTGCCACTTCAAAACATAAGAYCACACTAAAAAAGAGTGACTAAGTGATTTTTTTAACCTTGGGTTTCTTTTTGTCAGACAGCTCCGCCAAGCAGGGCATGGTCATCCGAGAGGGGAGTGTCTTGCTCTTGTCTTGAAGCTCAGGAGCTTCCTGGCTACTGCAGGGTGAAGGGAGGGAGCCGCCAGCTTCTGAGTCAAGATGCAAGTCTGATTCACCGCCAAATTCAGGCTCCAGCAGCGGGTCTTCCAGAAGAGGCTGGGGGTCTGGGAGAGGAGGGAGATCAAAAAGAGACTGGGAATGAGGGAGAAAATGGTGATCATAGGCAGTCTGTGGCACGCTGGTGGAATTCGAATCTGGAAGAACAACAGGACTGGTTGGAGTTTGCGGTGGTGGTTTTTTAGGTTTGGGCTTCTTCATGACTTTGTAGATGTTCCCTAGAGGCACCGGCCGTTCCACGGGTGAGGCGGGAGGTGAGTCGAGGGCAAGGGGAGAGGTAGAAGATGGGGACGGAGACTTGAGGATGAGGTTCATGGGCCGTTTGGGCAACGGAGGCTTGACAGCGACGGGAGGCTTGGGTTTCAGTAGAGTGGGTGGTGGGCTGGGGTCTTCGCCAATGTCTCTGCCGTGTTCTTCTTCAATCGTGTCAGAAGCCCCRTCTGGACAGTCCTCCAGGTCACCGCGAGAAACAGAGCGAAGTCTTATAGTCTTCAGCTCATTCTGGGTAACCACAGGCAAGACCTGAGAAGAACTGGGACTGATTTTCCCTGGTTTTGGAGCTGTGGAGGTGTCAGAGTGCCGCCTGCTCGCCTTTTGCTTTGGCTTGATTAACGACAGCTCCATRTGTGCATTCCCTGGCATTTCAAAGGACAATCTAGACCTGGCAGTTGGGTCCTTTGGAGATGGTAGTGATGACTTCCTCTCTGGTATCTTTGGGCGCATCCTACACCCTGYTGCCCCCAGTGTCCCCTGAATCATTGGAACAGTTGGGGTGGGAGTCTCTGACTGACTTGAGTATCCACTTGATGGYGATATGAGTCCTGGAGGCTTTAAAGGTGAGGAAGCTTTGACATCCGTCTCCATAGAGAGCTGTGAAGGGGAAGTAGCTCTGGAAGTGGAGGGAGAGTCAAGCAGGGACTCCGAGCTGCTTCTGACTTTCATACATTCAATCACTGTGGTACCTGTTGCTGTGCTGGAGCCTGACAAAGACCTGAGGAATACAGAGGAGGAAACAAACAAATATTAGGTTGTWTGAAAACAAGTACAAATACAATCTCAACTATCCATTTGGAGTTTTTTTTTACCTGTAGGGGTCATTGCTTTTCCACTCTCCCAACTGCCAGTGAGAAGGAAAGGTCATGTCTGTTTCTCTTTCCCCCTCTGGACCCTGGACCTCCAAACTTGGAGGTCCATCATTTCCCCCTGGGCCAGCTTCCCTTTCACCAACACTAGCTTTAGAGGAACAAGATGGGCTAGACASAAGGAAATCTGGCTGGAAGTCCGGGAAGTGGTCCCTGGGTATGTGCAGGCTTTTTGGTCGGCCATCTCGGTAAAGACCACCCTCTCGACGGATTCTTCCTTCAGCTTCCCCAATGTTTTTCATGAGAGACACGCTCCTGACCGGAGGCGGTGGTTTGCGTTTTGATTTCTTAAGTGAGATGGAACGCGAGCGAAGACGCAAGCGTCCCTCTGTGCTGTAGTCTGATGCAGAGACAGAGATGTTGTCCACAGTACTTGCACTGTCTTCTGAACTCCCTCTAGGGTAGAGGAGGGCATAGTTTTCCCCATAACCCTGGAAGTTGTGATGCTCCTGATGATTTATTGCCAAAGCGTTCCCATTTCCAGTCGACATGATAGTCATGTCTTGGTCTATGCCACCCTCTGTAAAGCAAAAGGAGCCAGAGTCAGTGGGTGTGGAAAGAGAACGCTCCCTGAACTTGAAGGCGTTCTGTGCTGCTATGGACCGTGCCGACCTCTCCCTCCCTCGTCCGGGATCTCGACCACCACCTCTCCCTGCGTCCGCCGCCGCCCCTTCCGTTTCRCTCCGCATCCCCATCATTATAGCCGAAATGCTGTTTCCCGTTCTCTCAAAGGGGTCTGTCACCGATGTGAAGGAGCTGGAGTGTGAGCTCATYGACTGGCTGGAGTGTGAGCTCACCAGCATGACCCCGTCCTGCCTGCCGCCTGCGTTGCCRATGATGCTGTGCTGCTTGGGAGGAACTGCTGGGCCTTTACTCATGCTGTAATTGTAAGGCTCATTCCATGCTCCAGGAGAAAAGGTTGAACCTTTGGGTCCGTTCCAGGAGGTGGTGGGTGTGTTCGAGCACAGCAACCCAGAGTGGTCCATAGCTCCTTGGCGAAGCTGGTCTGAGGAACGCTGCCCCAAATTGTTATCTGAGCGGGAAAGAATAYACAAAATATATTTCTTCAGTAACTGAACAAAACAAGATTATACAAGCTTTCAGCGAAGAATTTCACGTAAAAAATTTCCGCTTTTATGCGTGAACATTACGCAAAAAAATTTACCTCAAAAATCGTCCATAAAGTTGGGGGGGCCATATACAAGGCAGTAAATTTTGACCAATTTTTAAATAATGTACTACCAAAAAAAATTTCAATACTTTCTCGTTTGTAACTGAAATATTGCATTTTGGGGGAAAATTATCATAATTTCTCTATCCACCCTTCCGCTGTAGAATACATCAATTCAAGCTAAGCAGATAATTAACAACAGTAGTTGTTTTTAACACCGGAGTCATCAGAGAAGGAAAAAAGAAGTTTTTTCTTGTTAACATGGAGATTTGTGCTTTCTAAGCTCAAAAAATGTAAAGTCACGTTATATCTAAATGTGTTCATCCTTCAAACACCTTTGTGAACAGATAAAATGTTGCCATGTTCTTTATTTACTCATTTAATGATTGTGCGCAACAATTTTGTTTTATATTATCATCTTTAGTTTCTAATTTTGTGCCTGTCTATTTGTGTGTTGCCTTTTGTTTTGTGTGTGTGTTGTTGTTGTTTTTTTTGTGTGTGTTGTTATTTTAATTTTTTTTGTAAAATGCTTTGTGCTTTAAGACTTTTTTAAATGGTTCAAATTAATTTAATAAATACATAAACAACATTATACATGTATAATACAGGAATCTTTACTTGCCTAGTTAGAAAGCTGCACAAAATACTCAATGTAGAAGCTAACGCCAACTCTGCTAGATAGATAGATAGATAGATAGATAGATAGATAGATAGATAGATAGATAGATAGATAGATAGATA